ACCCCCGTCCCCGTCCCCATCACGGGCACACGCAGGGGTTGGACGTGCAGCCCATCGCTTTATTGCTACAGGAAAAGGCGACTGTACAAAAATAGAGTTTATCCCTCAAATTTTACAAATAATAGAAAAAGGGTGCGGGGTGCACGGGGCGCTGCCCAGGGCTTCAGTGCAGCGCTGGGGTTAAATTACACCCGGCCTCTGGGGGCCCAAAGTCATAAATAGGAGCTGCCGCTCAAGAACAATAAATAAATAATTTAGAGTAATAAATAGTTTAGTGCCACAGCACCACGGAGCAGCGGGGGGACCCTGCCACTACCCTGGGAACCAGACAGGGGTGGGGGTCCCAATGGGTGTCTGTGACTGAACACCCTGCAGATACTAGGGGCTGCTGCTGGTCCGGGTGCAGACCCCCTCACTCCACTCTGATGCAAATTGGCCCCACTGCATCCCTGCCCTCAGGGACACCCCTTCCCTGCACCACTGACCCCACGGTGCCCGAGGGGACAGGGAGGTTTTGCCCCCTGTGAAGCTTGGGTGATGCTTGTCCCCTGGAGCACAGGTGCAGGAGTGTTGCTGATGAACACTGGGTTGGCAGACCTTTGGGAGTGGTGGGGATGGTCCATACTCTCTTCAGCTTGTCTGCCAGGACTGAGCCAGTGCACCTGGGCAGGACCCCATGTAGCTGCTGGCACCAGCTGCTTGGCACTGAGCAGGAGTGGGCTTGGCCACCCACACCCCAGTCATGACTCCATCTCACCTCGGCTCTTTGTGGCCACGTAATAACAGGGCCAGCAGCCTCTGCAAACCCTTGTTCTGAGCAACAGTGACACTGCACGTGGCAAGCTGGAGTCTGTCGGCATGTGTCGAGCTGGGGCCAAGCCAGCAGCCCCCTCCTCAGCCAATACAGCTGCACTCAGCTGCTGAGAGCTTCTCCACTGTCTGCCATGTGTTCTCCACATCCATGAAGGAGACAGCCTCATAGCGGGTGGGTCGGCAGCAGGGGTGGCTGAGGACCCGCTCCTGTGGCCCCGGGGCGATGAGCTGCTGCCGCAGCAGGCTGCCCAGCGTCAGGTCATAGTTGCTGCGTGCCCGGTGGCAGGACCCGCTGCAGTACTTGAAGAGCACGATCTCGTCCGAGTTGAAGCCCAGGCCCAGGTCCCGCACCTTCACCATCAGGTTGCGGATGTGGCAGTTGCGCCCACGGGTGCGCCGTGGGGGTTTCCCCCCCGCCTTTTTGGCTTTGCTGGCACCTGGCGGTGAGCGCTCAGCACGCAGCAGCAGGTCCTCCGCCAGCTCTGTGGTGCCTGGGCTACCTGTTGTCGCGTTGTCCCCTGCACATGGAGGAGATGGTGCTGTCATGACCTATGCTGCACCCATCACCCTTCTTCTGAGCCTGCCGGTCCCCGCTGTGACCTACGGATCCCTCCTGATCACCCACCATGGCAATGGCTGGTGCCTGAGAGGATGCATGAGTGTGTGGGAAGATCCTTCCAGCCAAGAATCTTCTCATCTTCTAATTTCTAGGGCTCTGCCACATGCCCAGCATGAAGCTTAGGGCCCCAGGTATTGAGATCCCCTCAGCTCAGCCCCATAGTGCAGCCACAGCCCCACACAGGCTGGGGCTCCCCACAGTAGCTCCCAACCTGCCCATGCCCCACACACAGGATTACCATGCCCAGGTGGGAGGCCTGTCCCAAAACGCACCGTACAGCTGGCTCCAGGCAGCGGCAAGTGGTGTCTCCACACCATCCTCCACAGACAGGCTGGCAGTGGCCATGCCCCGTGGCGTGGGGGCTGCGTCCAGCGTCTCGTTGCAGTGTGGTGTTCGCAGGGTGCCTGTGGCCAGCCCAGCCAGCAGTGACAGGATGGCAAAGAGTCCCCACAGTGTCCCCTCCTGCAATGAATCACAGCACAGCAGGGTCAGCACCGACCAGGGTCGCCACACCAGGAATGAGGCTCCATGAGCTGGGGATGGGTGAGGATGGGGTCATGTAGTCCTGGCCATTGCAGCCAGACAGACCTGGGCTCACCTTGGGATGCAGGTGTGTGGCAGGTCCTGCAGGCCTTCGCTCTGGTGGCCCCTGTTGCTGGTCCATGCTAGCTGCAAATACAGAGGTTGGGGTCAGGGCCCACACAGGGTAGGTTTAGAGCTGGCTGGCTGGGAACTGGCATATGCCTCCCTGCCCTGGCCAAGCATGCCACCCCCTCCCTCACCCTCCAGAACCTCACAACACTTCCTGCACCCCATTCATGGCCCACCCCTACCCCTCTCCTCTCCTGGCATAACCAGGCATTCTCACCACACTAAACAACCCTTCCAAGAGATTGGGCAGCTTGGGCAACCCAGCCTTTATACAGCACGTCTCCTCAGGGGCAATGCAGCCATGTCCTTGTGTGAACAGCCTGGGATGCCAGGCTGGGCTGTGAGGCAGCAGCTGGGGCTGGGAGTGCTGCACGCGGGGGCCTTTTCCCATGGCCCTTCCCTGGGAATGTTTTTCTTGCTCACAGTGGGAGTCTGACCTTGGAAACTCCAAAACCATTAGCACAGGGTCCTTGGGTGCAGCCACCCCTTGGCCCCGCGCTGGCTCCCCAGGCTGCTGCCTGCACCAAGCTGGGACGCACAACTCCCAAGCAGCCTGGATGAGTGGGACTGCAAGGGGCAGGATGCTCAGGCAGGTCCTGTGGGGACATAGCAGGGTATGGAGCACCGTGCTGGGCTCACTGAGTCATTCACCCCAACATCACAGCTTGGCGTCCACTGGTACACAGAAAGGCACAAAGGCACTGCATCCCTCCTGTGCATGATCCCAGCAGAGCAGCAAGCATG